TTGTCATCGGCTATTTTTGCGAAGCTCCAGATCGTTCAAACCGCGAATCGTTTCGCGTGATTCAGTGATGAGTATGTAATCAAGTCTATAAGAAACAACTCATCAATGTTGAGAAAACCCTGTGACTTGATTCGGTTACATATGACCCGATAGGTCGATGCCAATAATTTCTGGCCCAACTTTTCCTATTTCCTGAAATGCATTGACACTTCAAATCTAGATCTGTTTCTGTTAATCATGCTTGAGGATAGATTTCAGTCTCTAACGAAATGTTGACGACTTATCAATAACGGTCGGACAAATGTCTCAGCCGGCGGATGCTTGTGAGGCTGAACTTGGCGTCACTCGTGGGTTTTCATCTCCTTTCCGTCTCTCATCTTTCCGAATGTTCATATTTCTTCAACACTACCGCATCAGCATTTCGATGCCATCCAGATTATTGGTCAACCATTAGATAGACTACGTGACCATATGTCCCCTTCAAGTTATTAGTCGTTCATTCGTCCTTTAGTATCTGCTCTTGAGTGTGATCCTGCGGAGTGGTCGTGATTGGGTATCAACGTTTTCCAATTCCGCAAAGAAACCACGTTTTAAGCAACTTTCTGTTGTCATACCGTCTCTTGACTGTTTGTCGTAATGTCTCCGCCGCTTCGGGAACTGGCCCGGGGGCTGGGGTAAGGGCGGTCGGCAACGCTAGTGGAAGTACGTACGGAGAAAGCGTCTTTTCTGGAATTCCATCCCCGTTTGCTCCCCACAACTTCAAGCTGGTTGTCAAATCACATTGATGCATTCATCACGTGCCTGACGGTGCCAATGACACCCTGCTGAAATGAGCACAATGGCCCACGCAAGACGAATGAAGGTAAACAACATGATAAGAGCACGTGGCCGGTAATGACCGGGCCGATGGCCAATTATGATTGTATATAACAAGGAATTGGCAGCTTATGTCGAATGCAAACATCTCTTGTTGCACGGCACAGAAAAGGGACTACAATGGCACCCATCAAGCTTGGCTTGGTATGCCTTACGGCAATCCTGGTTGAGGGAAGTTCGAGACTCCTTGCGCCAATTCAAGACATCAATTTACCGGCCAGTGAATCTGCTGAGCACCCTCTTGAACACTTGGGCGCAAACGGTCCTTGGTTCGCAGGTACATATATCTATTTGCCCTTCGACTCGATGCTTCAGCGTCGCTTACTTTCGATCGCTTATTAGGACCCAACGTCAACGAGATCTCATCCGAAATTCCGGAGAATTGTTACGTTGATCAAGCGGCGTATGTTTCTCGGCATGGATCGAGATACCCAGATACTGGCGCTTACAATGGATGGGTCTCAATGCAGGAACGAGTTAGTAATATCTTTGTCTGCCATCTAAAGCATATTCATTTATAGCTGAAACTTGATTGTGTAGTTTCATGCTGGAAACTATACTGCCTCTGGCAGCTTGAGCTTTTTGCCGCGGTGGCAAACAGCGCTAACTAATCCATCCTCTCAAATCGCTAACTTGAGTCCAACGGGCTACAAAGAGGCTCACGATCTTGGATACACTTTGCGAACCAGGTGAGTTCTGCTCAATAGCATCCAAACCCAACAGAACACCTGTGCTAATCGAGTTAGATATCCGGGCCTCTACACTGAAGGCGAAGACTTCATGGTCTGGGCTAACAACTACTCTCGAGTCCTACAGACTGCCAAGTTGTTTGTTCGCGGTTTCTTGGGAACCAATGCCACCTTGCTCGGTGATATCGTGTCCGTGACATCTAAAGGCTTTGCCGCTGGCATTGGCGACTCATTAGCGCCTTCTGATATGTGCCCAGCTTTCAAGGATACGGAGGGAGGCGACTACGTGACTGCGTGGAACAACGTCTACATTCCTCCAATCCTAACACGCCTGCAAGCACTCATCGATGGAAACCTCACACTTACGCAAAGTGATGTGTCGCAAATACCTTATCTTTGTGGTTTCGAAAGTCAGATCACCGGCCGTCTCTCACCTTGGTGTGATATCTTTTCGGACGAAGAATACCTCCAGTACGAGTACTTCCAAGACCTTCGCTACTACTACGGAGTCGGCCTTGGTACCGATGTGCCTCAGACCATGATGACCCCCTACCTAAACGCATTGATGGACATATTTGTTCAGGGGCCTTCGGTCACCGGCAGGCGCAAAGATGGGACCACTTTCAATTTACCAAAGCTTCTCGTCTCCTTCCTCAACGATGGACAGCTCAACCAGTTAGTGGCCGCCTCAGGGGTATTTGACAAGCAGCAGCCTCTTTCAAGTACGCATAAGGACGATGGCCGTCAATTCGTCAGCTCTCGCTTTACAACAATGCGGGGAACTATTGCATTTGAGAGATTGAACTGTGCCGGGGCTAGAAACGCTACACATGGCAACTTCACCAATGTTGCCCGCCGGAATCCAACGAACAGAAGATCAACCTGCACGCAGCCATCGCCCCCAATCCAAGACACCTGGAATACGACATATATTCGCATTCGTCTCAATGATGCTGTCTACCCGATACCTACTTGCAGCAGCGGTCCTGGTTCTTCTTGTCGGCTGGAGGATTACAAGCAATACGTCGCCACGAAGCTTGAGAACCAAGGTAATTGGATCCAGAACTGCAACGTAACCACACCTGGAGCACCAACAAAGGTGAGAGGTGCAAGTTTCTACACCGATCTTAGCAGCGCTTGGTTGAGCCATGTCGCTCCTTGAGGACGAGACGGTTAGGACCAAATCTAGACAAGCTTATTTCATTTCAATGTGATTAGAATATCTTGAATTTTTTGTATATTCAAATAATATCTCCAAAAGTTTAGCATCACTGTTGAGATGCTTCACGGTCTTATATCCTTATTGTCAAGTGAAAGGCGATATTCAAACCCTCTACTCCTCGTATTTCGCATCATAAGCGTTTGTTCCGTGAGCTTCCATGACCTACAAAAAGCAAACTGTATTTTGGGAATTGATGCTAGATAATGGGCTTGAGAACTGTTAAGTGCTGTAGCCATCATTCATACAATATTCTTGCTGTGGATGCTATCTTGTCAACATGTCCTCCGCCCAACGAGCTTAACGTGAAGAGCGATGAAACTTCGACTGGCCTCTGCATTAGTCCTTTGATATGCATAACTTCGATGGTGTAGAAAACGTCCCTCAACTCGCGTTACCTTGCCGTTGGCGATGCAAGTTTATACCCAATCAGCATACCGGCTAACCCAAACATTGAAGTAATATTCAAGTCACAGTCACCCACTCGTCAACAGGTCAATACGCCTTGAGTTCATAGCTTTCGACTGTTCGGGCTTCTCTTTTCAAGTCTTACCATGCTCCTCCCGCTTGTTGTCTTTCCGTGATATTTCGTCTCTGCCAGATGACTCCAACAAAGTTGCAAGGCAAAAGATCCCAACTCCCTATAGAGTGAAGAGGGACGTTCTGCTTTTATCTGATCTCATACGTACGATTCTCCCGACAAGCACGATTCAATCAATTAGTGAGTAAAGTACCATGTTACATTAGAGCTTTGGCAGCGCCCCTTTCTGTTACGCTCGTATTCATCAATTGTCAGGCTCATCGCCTTCCTTACTCGTTTGAAGTCGGTCTCAGCCGATAAAGATTGTTAACGCGGACGCCGATCCTAACGTCATTCCACACACTTTCTGAACTTTGACATAATGACCGCCGTGGGCTAGCGGTAATGGATCAGAATTTCTGAAGTGTGGGTTCAGGCTGACAGTTGTGGCCAGCGAAGCAATTCAAATTATAGAGATGGCGATAGTTGCGTTGCTACGGCCCGGTGATCTTTTTGTTTCTGTCGTGCTGATGAAGCGAAACACACAATCTAGTCTCCTCCGTTCGCGAGGGCATCAGTTCCATGATTCCCAAGTGGATCCTACACCTTCACTGTCGACATAGGTACGTCAGGGGCAGGGGAGGGCATGGACAAACTTTGTCCGAGTCACGTATACACACATTCAACCACGCAGAAACATTCATCGTGAGCGATCCTATTGGGTGCTACCTCAAGTTTGACTCCGAGCTTGTGCTTAAAACCGAAATCCCGATGTGTTTGGACCAGAGACCGTTACATCTCGCACGTGGGTGATGTGCCAAGAGATCCCATGTTGACGAGGTATCAGGGTACTGCTGCTTCCTCTGAACTCAATGAACCACATCTTCAGCGCGCTTTTTAGTCAAAAGGCAAAAGCTTCGTCTGGGTTGCTTGAGTGGAACTCTCTCCAAGAGCTGATTCTGTTATTTGAGTTAATGTCTGATGTTCCCCTCCCAGAGAAAAAGGTATTGGGTTCCTTTACATGCATGTTCCCGGAGAATAGTTGCTTAGACTCAATTCATACCCCGAAGATCAAAGGCCGCGATCAAGCAAAACCTAATAGGTTAATACTATCATCGTCGAATCACCTGATTCTGGCAGCCACCTTCATAGTCATCTTTTGGCTTTTACTCGATTCCGACGGTCAATGCATTGACGCAGGCAGCCTGTTCGATTTAAATCATCCACATGCGATGACCTACCTAACAAATAATGTCTTGAACATGACTGAGCAACTGACTAGTTCATAGCGGGATTTGGAAAACTCAATTTTATGTCGCGCGGGCCGAATACTGCTTGTTGCAGCTCAACCCGCCCACTACCATGCATAAGTAACGTTGACAGCACCCTCTTATGGCATTTACCTGTCATAGGTATGATCCATGGTACACTCGTATCATATTCTTGAGCCCTCTCACCTACATTTTCGTTATCAGCGTGAGAACTTTCTCTCATAGTCATTCGACACGCCTAGAATCATGGGCTGAGGCGCAGATTCTTTCGTTTCTGCAGGCGTAAAGTGTCACTTGTCACTATCTGCAGAGTGCCCAGAGTACCGACTATCGTCACGAGCTTTTCGGAATCCTGAGAATTCGAATTATTCGGGGCATGTGTCGCGCACATTAGAGTCTTGTTGGACACTATAGGAGCGCATACCATGACGGATAATATGGTAGGAGCGCTCGTTGGTTCGACAGTAGCCATGATATGTATCACTACACTGGTTGTCTCGATACGAATGGCTGTTAGAACAAGTCTGAGAACTTACGGCCTCGATGACGGTATGTGACGTGTGAGAAAGTAGGATTCGATCGACATCACTAAGTCGTGTATAGTTCTCATTACCGCTAGCTGGGTACGCCAGACCCATTCGACCAGACCTACTCTGCGCAGAGGAAAGTTGATAAGTGTTGTTCTATAGGTTTTCGCGATGGGCATGTTCACTGCGACCATGATCTGTGAGTCAACGCCTAACCATCACCTAGCAATTTACTTGACATGTGCGGCTGTCGAATGCTAACCAGCAGGAGCAGCGGCTCATTCAGGACTTGGCAGGCATCACCACGATGTCAGTGTTTCAGAATACGAGCAGTTCCTCAAAGTAATCCATCATCTCTGCGGTCCTGAAAATAGTCCATAGTAGCTGACTTGAAGAAAGTTGACTATCGCGACTTCGGCAACGTACAGCTACGGCCTGGCTCTCGCCAAAATGTCCTTCGCTGTTCTCTACATACGAATGCTACCAGATCGAAGACTCGTGGTGATGAACAGGGCCATAATCCTCTTTCTTTGCGGTCAGGCCATCGAAGAGAGCCTCATCCCAATATTCCAATGTAAACCGATTGCGAAAGCCTGGACCGTGGGTATGGAAGGGACTTGCCTTGACCTCCCGGTTCTATGGTGGAGCGGCGTAAGTGAAAAGTCTAGCCTCGACCCTGATGTCGGTATGTGACTGAACGAGATATCAAACTGACTGCAGAATACATCAGTTTGGATTCAATCTCTGCACCGACTTGATCTTATTCATACAGCCAGTTCCCACTTTATGGAAGTTGCAACTGCCGCTGGTCAAAAGACTTGGCCTCATCGCCATGTTGTCATTGGGTTTATTGTGAGTGCCACATGGATCCTCGAGCTTCGCTAGTTGCGTGAAGGAAACTGGACTCGAGAACATGTTCTGACCCATCTCTAGGGTTGTCGCTATTTCTGTGATTCGCATGCACTCCGTCACCGAGATGGGAATTGACGACACACGTGAGCAATCTACCTCTTCAAGACTAATCGTCAAAGCTGATACACATTGTCAAAGATGACCTAGCAACCCCAATATTGTGGTCTGAAGCAGAGATTAGCACCTTGATCGTTTGTTCATGTGTGCCTTCCTTACGAAAGGTGGTCCAAAAGTTGCCATGCTCATACCAACCATTTGGTATAGCTAGCATCGACACGCTGCCACGAGCCATCGAAACAATTGGCCAAACGAGACGAAAACAACGACTCACGTCGGAGTATGGCAGCGGCCATGAAAGATACTACTCTATTGGGTCAGGTTCTACAGGCAGGACCCTGAGGTATCCCTTGAGTGTATTGAGTCGACCCGGGAAGGCTTCGTCCAAGGCAAGAGAGGCACCACAGGAGACGCTACGCACCAGTCTCACAGGCGACATCAATAGCATTGCCAATCTGCGAAAACTTGGACTGGAGTTTGACTGCGACGTGGAGCGCAGTGCGGGAGATACGGTCAACGTACCCGAAGAGACATACTTTCCAATGGGAAATTGAAATGAAAAATTGAGAGCCGATGGCACATAGACATAGAAGTTATATCAAGAGATGAGTTGTCGCCGCGTCGGATCCGATCCGAGTTCTTGAATAGGTGTGAGAAGTGGAGGCCCGGACTGGGCTCCGTGCGGAAGAATATGGATCTTGACTGGCGGCGTTCTCCGGGCTACCGATAATCAATGACGTATAGAATTCCCCTTAAGTAGTGGCAGTCGCACGTGGAATCACTAGGGAGTCCGCGTCATGAGCTTGTAACTTTAATGAAATCGCCGGAACGTCGGAGATCGGTAGGTGGTAGTACCCGAGCTCGAGGCTTTGTACCACTTAACTACCACTGACGTACGACTCCAATTGAAAGCGTCATGGGTGGAATCCGTTCTTCCTCAACCCAATAAGACCATCTCCATGACCTCAACTTTGTGAGCTTCACGAACCAGGACTTTTCTTCTTCAAACTAACTATTCGAAATTTACGTGTACAGCACTGCTAGCAGAAATTCACAACATGGGCGTTTCACTGTCTACTGCCAAATGGTTGGCTCCACTATCCTTTGCTGTCGACTTTGCAGCTCAAAACTATGGCATGCTTAGCACTCCCAATATGAAGGATGTTCACGACGCCAACCTGTCATTTTGGTCGCCTCAGCCTTTCTTCATTGCTGGATTCTTCTTCCCTCAGCAACTTTTCCAGCTTGCCTGGCTATATCGCCTATACAAGGCAGACCCCAAAGTAGAGCCCATGGCCTCCGATATAGGCACTATGGTTGACTTTGCCCCATTTTACGCTGTCGGAAACTTCTGTATTGCTAGTGAGTAGCAATCTTTACTCCTCTGTCTACCTCTTGAGTTGTGCTGATTGTCTTCAAAAGCATGGATGATCTTCTGGAACAAATCTGACCTGAAGGTTGCAAACATCTTCGTCATCATTAATAGCCTTGCCCAACTGTACTTCATCTTCAATCGTCTTCCGCCCATGAACACAAAGTCTGTCAACTCTGTTCTTACCCACGTCGTTGCCAAAACCTTTGCTGGTATCGGCGTCTTGGACCTGCTACACAACGGTTCGGTTGCATACTTTGTTCACCAGCAGCCATCTACCACTGTAAAGGTTCTCACCGGAGTAGGGTTCGGATTGTTGTCGAGCATTAGTGATTGGATCTTTGGAGGCTGTCTGGTCTATGACTTAATTGCGCTGTCAGTCGGTCAATCAGCCTACGGCAACGCCGGTTGGAGCAGGCTTCTCGGCATCTACGCCGGTGGAGCTGCAGCCATTGTTGGCGCGCGTAATTTCCTGAGGTAAGACTTTGATCAGAAACAGTAAAGGAGATGCTTGCTAATTTTGCAAGACCGCCATATGTCAGTCAATCTACAGCCGGATACCAGCCTCTTTAAAGCGTTCAGTTGGCCTCTTGGTTGTATCTGCAAGCCGCCTAACAGGAGACTAGGATCGAATATGGAATTGTATTAATAGCACCAGTCATTCCATAATATCATTATATTTCTTTTTGCGACACAATTTTCATGCTTATCGTCAATCGTGTTTGAAAATTCATGTGGGGGCAATTGTAACCATACTACCATCTTGCTCAACGCCGACAATCAAGTCCCACCTTTGCCTCTTCAATTCTATGTGGTATCAACGATGCTCTATACCTGCTAACGCCTTTGGATACGCCTAGATTTGTCCCCAACAATGCTGCTAGCCTTCTCAATCATTTCATAGGCGCCCAATTGGACAGCCATTCTCGCGCTTTATCCAAATCTCCTGAGCTCGCTTCGCATGCCGCTATGCACCATTCAAAGTCCCATACACCCTCACTCGCCAGCATTTCCGCTAATCTCCTCCGTCGTTGTGAAGTCTCATCGACGCAAAAGTGCATGGGCTCTTTCATCTCGGGAATGCTTTGCACGAGCGGCTTCACGAGCGGAAGAGCGGCCTGCGCGCTGCCACCCTTCGCATCAAGTCCAAGGTTGATCCTCCCTGACTTGCACCACTCGTTTCCACACCACTTCTTACCACAACCGGTCATCAGCTGGCCGAGATATCTTCTCTCGATACGTCGCCGGAGCGCTTTGCCCTCTGGGTCATGCATGCTGACGTAGAGGGGGCCGAAGCACAGCGAGCAGAGACCCAGATCGTTACCGGGTCCCTGACCCATTGCTGTTCCGGCACCAACAACTCCAGCAGATCCGACGCCATGCAGGGTGCGGCCACAGTTGATGTTGCGGCAGATTTCGGGTTTTTTTCGAGCGATTTTGTCCAACTCGTGGTGCTTCATATGAGCTGACATATCTCGCATCCGTACGATCTTGCCACACAAGTGGCAGTCGGTGGTTCTCGCGCCGTCTGCTAGCTCATGCGAAGTCAAGCCAGACAAGATTGTTTCTGCCGAAGGATTGAATGGATCCCCCTCTTGTGGTACCTCGAGGTGACAAAACTGGCAAAGAATGAGTTTGCCAGGACAGACACTTGTGCGGTGTAGCGCCAATTCCACCAAGGATGAAGCAGTGTATTCGCAGCCAAGACACTGCTGTTCAGTGTGACGCACGGCATCGTGTTTGGCCTTGCTCGCCAGCGAATCTCCAAAAGCATCGTCATGCTCGCAGTGCCAATGAGTTTCCCACTCATCCGACCCCTTCTTGAAGACACGTTTGCACTTTGGACAGGTAACATTATTCCGAAGACAGAAGTTCCGATGCAAGACCATTGTCCGCTGAGGAATCCACTGCAGACAATTCGTACACTGCTCTTCGTCTGGAGACCTAGAGTCCCCGGGTTCCGAGCCAAAAGGTACATCTCTTGATGCTTCTCCCGCCTCAGCTCTGACCCTGAGTTGATAGGATGCTGGGTTTGGGACTTGATCGTTGCCGATCAGCGGATAGCAATAGATTGAAATGAGAAGCTCTTCAGCACTCTCCATTTCGACATTTGTGGGTTGTATAGTGATGAACTTGATGCCGTCTTCAGCAGGATTGAAGTTGCCAAAGACATATTCTGAATCTCGCGGTCGTGCTCGCTGTCGTGCTGATCTCGGACTGACGAACAAGTCGATACGATCAGGGTGAGGGAGTTTGGAAAGTTCAATCTTCAAGGGCCGGGTCCGATCCCAAGAGGGCAGTTCGTAATCGATGTATTCCCCCTGCAAAACCTGGCCGTTGACAGGCTTCCACACGTCAATCTCGCCTCCTATTGAGCTTCCATTAGAAGCACCAGGCTGAACTTTGGCCATAATCTGGCGCATAGTCTCGCGAGCCTGCTCCTCATTCAAAGCCTCAATGTCCACTTCCAGATCCGTATCAACCACGCAAATGCCGTCACCTTCTGGCAAGAATTTATCGACCAGGAACTTGAAGTCTTCGCCCTTGACGCCGCGCACAGAGAGGACCGTTTCCTTTGTGAGTGTTGTGTAGCTTTCGCGTAGCTGGCGTTCGAGAAGTGATTTCCAGTCGTCGGGATCATAGCCGGCTTCGAGGGGTCTGAGCCGGACGTAGGTGCCCTTGGGTAGTTGCTTGGCGTAGACCGTCAACCGTGGTTCAGTATCGAGAACCATGCCAGATGTCGATTCAGATGACTCTTTTGGGAGGGAATCGACAGAAAAGTCAGTAGGGAGTAGCCCTAAAGCATCCATGAGATATGGACCCAGCGCAATTTCCCCTTCCTCGGCCGAAAACTCGCGGATGCCAGCGTATACAGTATTTCCGTTCTTTTGATTGACCAGGCGAAACATTAAAGGGTTCGGCAGTTGCTGGGAGGTCTCTTGGTAGAGGCTCTGCTGCTGTCGCGCGTATGGATTGAAGGGGTCGTAGGAAGTGAAGGTCGAATTGGAGGGCGCGGGTGGTCTCGGAGACGCTGCGAGCAGTTGCTCGAGGGCGGACTGAGGAAGCAGGATCTTGTCGCCGCGCAAGTCTCTCGAAGCAGATTTGATGGGAGGCACGACCGCAAACGGTGCAGACCACTTCAACTCGGGTTGTTCGTTCTCCATATTGGCGTAGCGGAGTCTCGTCCAAGTCAGAGTAGGGTGGTAATCTTAAGTAAGGTATCGTAGGTCTTGTTGTTCGACGCGTCGGCCGTCGCTAAGGGTAAGGTGGGGTGGAGGGGTAACGGTTATCTGCTCAGAGGGCTGTTGATCGAGTTGCTGTGTCTGGGCATGGCCGGTGGATTGAAGTCGAGGTGGCCCAAGCCGTGAGTAGGCATCTGTAGAAAGTATAGCAAGTAAATTCCAGGATAGGATTTGTGTTGTCATTTGGGAAGTATCATGGCGACAGTGTGGATGAATCAGCAGGCTGGTTGGATTCTTCTAGATTCCACCCACAGTAAGTAAAATCAACAAGCTCCAGGTTGACTCGCTGACGACATGATGTGGGCCGCCTCCCGCAATGGAGAAAGCCGAGAGAGGAACCTAAGGTACATAGATCTGCGCCACATATCCCTAAACCCATTCAGGTCAGCTCGCGCCACAATTACATATCTTACACATTCCAACTAAAGTACCTAGGTACTGTGCTGCTTACCTAAGGTTAGCAACACGGAGGTGTGATGAACAGTCGGATCCGGGATAGTTTGGCTGACCGCCGACCTAAGGTGCGACCCGACGATCGCGAGAATGGAAACGAGAGAAATGCTTACTAAACACACTTCACGGTACTGCTCCAAGGCCCCAAGCCTCTAAGAGTCCAAATGGGAAGCTTCTCAGACCTTCTCAATTTACGCAGGCGAGACAATGGGCATTGGCACATTGCCGGTTCAACAATCTTCTGCGCACGCCCTTGACCAATACTCTACGCGCAATCAGAAAACCAAGATAAAACCAATACCACTCAACCAATCATGCCAAATAAAGCTGAATCATGATGTGCGTCTGCCAAGAAGCCTCATATCCCAGCTCGCCAAACACTTGAACCACTGAGCGCTCAACCACTGCAACACAACCTGAGTCCTTGACACCTCATGCTTCTACTATTTATTGGGTTCCCCATTCACCAAAACCAGCAGAAACAAAT